ACCAATCTCCATTAGACCAGTAAGCCTGGTCTTTTTTATGATTTTGAGTTTTGTTCCACATTTTTCTCCCACTCTGTCCAGGATCTCCTATTTTGATCTCTTTCCAAGTGGTTGACAGTGGTAGCCGAGGACCATTTAATTCTTCTGGTGTCAGGGTGATAATAGGCTGAACTAGGAGGTAGAATAGAAGTACTAAACACATTATTAGTCCAATTCACTATAATATCCCATGAAACCAGGTCCTTAAAAATCAAGGGACCAAATCCCATGAGGTATTTGGTTTTATATAAACAGACTCAACAGCTACTTTTATTTTGGTAAATGTATATCTATCACACAACTTTTGCTAATTCAACTTTTTATAGGCATATGACTTATTGACAGCAGTTACAATACTCAGCTGTGAAAATTTACCCTTAATCAAAGTAATTTTTCTATCATTGGAAAAACCCCATTTTGTCCTCCTTCTTGCTCCTGGTAACCACTACTAAACTTTGGTCTCTATATATTAGCTTTGTATGAGGCCATACAATATATGCCCTTTTGTGATTAACTCATTTCACTCAGCATATTATCTTCAAGCTCCATCTACTGTATTTTTCACATATAGTGCACCCATGTAAATAATGTGCCCATGCATATAACACAAAGCACACATAGAGAACTAATGCAGGAGGAAGTTTTGTGGTTTGCAAAAACCCATATAATGTGTGCATTATTTGTATAAAAATACAGTATATTGTAGCATGTATCAAGACTTCATTTCTCCTACTGGCTGAGTAGTATTCCATTGTATGGGTATAGCAAATTTTGTTTATCCATTTGCCTGTGGATGAGTGTTTAGGTTGTTTCTACCTTTTAGCTATTATGAATGGTAGCACTGCAGTGAATATTGGTGTACAGATATCTGTTTGACTCTCTGCTTTCAAGTCTTTTGGGTATATACCTAGGAATGGAATTGTTGGGTCATATGGAGCTCTGGTGGCAAAGTGCCTAAGGCATTTGACTGCTAACCAGAAGGTTGGCGGTTCAAACCCACCAGCCACTCCTCGGAAGGAAGGTTGGGCAATCTACTTCCGTAGTGATACTGCCTCGGAAACCCAAGGAAGGGTTGCTGTGAGTCAGATCCGACTCTACGGCAGTGAGTTTGTTTGTTTTTTTGGTTATTCTACTTTTCTTTTTTTTTTTTAGGAACATCCACACTGTTTTCCATGACAGTACAACAGAAATTCTTAATCTGAGGTCCTTAGATAAGCTGGAGGGGCCCTGGTGGTGCAGTGATTAGGCACTTGGCTGCTAAATGAAAGGTGGGCAGCTTGAACCTGCCAGCTGCTCCACAGAAGAAAGATGTGGCAGTCTGTTTCTGTAAAGATCCCAGCTTTGGAAACCCTACGGGGCAGCTCTGCCCTGACCTACGGGGTCGCTGTGAGTCAGAATCGACTGAACAGGAGCAGGTTTTGGTTTTGGATGAGCTAGAGAGGTGTGATGGTGATGAGGCCCTGACATTATATGCTAATTTGCGCATATTTGAAAATGTTCACATTTTTTGGGAGAAAGTCCTTGGTTTTACAAAGAAGTTTAGAACTAAATATTAAGACTGGAAAGCATTTGTACTTTCAGAGGATTTTGAGACACAAACTTGCTTCTTTTAAGTCGGATAACTTTACAACTGAACAAGTTAAAAGCATAGTGAAGAAGCTACTTAGACACAGAATTACACCATAGTGTAATGTGTGACTGGTTAGAAAATCAGTAGCAGTACACATCCAGATGAATTATTTGTATTGGATGATGTCTAAATTTCTGTGCAACTGTCTTCAATCAGAGCATCTTTGGAATTTTCTTCAGAGCTCATGACATAGTCTTTGGAATTGCTTCAATGATGGCAGTCTTGCCCTTTGGGGTTGAATTTGGTGTTTTTCAATTGTCAAACGTTATCTAAAATGCAGACTGGTCAATAAAGAGGTAATCAAAGTGGGCTAATACCCTTTTTTGGCTAAAAACAAGTAAAGGTTAAACACAAGATTTACATTCTTAGTTAATTTGCTTGTATGTCCTGACATCACTTGAATAATTAAGTAGCATCCAGAGGCAACTTCTTTGAAAAACATATTTAGATATATTTACCTAACTGTGGAAGGGCTCCTTATTCTACTGGCAAACCTCATGAGGAGCCCTGGTGGCACAAGGATTAAGTGCTCCCTTGCTCATCAAAGATTGTCATTTGAATTTACCCAGATGCTCTGTGGCAGAAAGATTTGGTGATCTGCTTCCATAAAGATTACAGCCTAAAACCCCCCATGAGACAGTTCTACTCTGTCAGATGGGGTCACTGTGAGTTGAACATTGGCTTGATGGAACCCAGCAACCAGCACATATATTCTAGTTTTCATCTATGGTGCTATTAATAGAGGCTTATGTCTCCTATGTGGTCACCATGGGTTGGAATCAACTTGACAGCACACAACAATGACAACAACACTTTGTATTAAATCTCTCCAATAGCATGCTCGTCAGGCCTGTTGGTCTTATTCTTTTTACTCAGTTGTTTTTAATTTTTTTTCACTTCTGTGAAATTGTCAGATATATCGACGCGGCCAATGCTTTGGAGCAAGAAACCAAACTGGGGTTACAACGCTTTGAAGTTTGTGACAACATTGATCTTGAAACTATTTTGATGGAATATGAAAGCTATTATTTTGTGAAATTTCAGAAATACCCCAAAATTGTCAAAAAGGCATCAGACACAGGTACATGGCTGTTTTCTAGAAATAGGTCTTTATCATGTCTTCAAGATTAGTGTTTCTTCCTCATCTTATTCCCAAATAGATGGTGCCCCTTCTCCTGCACTCAAAGAGTAGACCAGAAAGATCATGTGGCCTCTCTGAGCTCCAGGGGGGACAATTTAAACATAATTGTCTGGATATTGACATCCCTTTAGTCATGTTGGCATTTGTTTGAGGAATGTGTGTTTTACAGCAATAAAAGCAAACCCCCCGTGTATCACTGGTACTTTTTATAAGGCCAACATTACCTTCGTTTCTTTAGAGATGGAAAGAGCTGTTGGAAGAGAATAGATGACATTAAACTTTTTCTAGTTAGGAAGACCTATTATCTATCTTGAAAATAACACGAAAATGAGTATTGGTGAAGCTAATAGCTCATGTATAGATAATGAAATGCTTTTGAAAGCCATCAATCCAGATAATGATCAATATAATGCAAAGACCCTATATAGGTTAGCAGTCAAGGAGGCTGGCTGGAGGAAAGCTCTAAAGTGAGGGCCCTATGTTTTGTAGTAACATTGACTTAGAAGTCTGTAAGTGGGGGAAGTAATTATAAACCAAGGGAGATCATTGCCCTGTTTATAAGGCACTTGTTAAGCCACAGACTTTAACATTTCATGTAGGGACCAGGAAACCAAGAGGAACATTAATTAAAAATAGCCAGGGCCGAATCTCAGAACTAAAGGGTCTAAGAGGTATTTTCAACCCCCCTCCCTTCCAACAGAGTACAGAGCTTGGCTTCTCTGACTGATTGTTAGATCAGGGTGTTGGCAGAAGAAGTGCTGACTCTTAGCCACTAGGCCACCAGGAATATTGTTGACACGATCTGATTTCTAGATTGCTGGTCGATGTAGTGTGATATCCATAGTCTCCCGTGATATTTGGACAATACTGTTTTTACTTTAAGGTAAACTGGTAGACTATGGCTGACATGTGTTCCCTGCTAGACTCATGATGATCCGGGCGGCTCATGCAGCACAGCAAAATGGTGTCATGTGAAGATAGAAAGTGAGCCCATATAGGAGTTGCCACCAGCTCCATGGTATCCAACACATTAAATATCTGAGGACCTTAGGGTCTCTCTGTGTATGGAAATGCTTAGGAAGTAGGGGTCTCTTTCTCATAGCCAGTAATTTCATGTCTCTCTAAATGAAAAGAACTTAGAGTATCTGGGAAAAGCTGTAGTAGAAAAATTTCAGAGCAAAGTAAAAGGGAAAACATACCTGAGAATCACCCTTCCTCTCTCTTAAAAATTAAATTGTTTCCTTTTCCCCCAATATCTGTTTTGCCACAGCAGAAAATAATTTACCACAAAGAAGTGGAGGGAAGACCAGAAGGTAAAGTGAATGGTAATTCATCTTGACTATCTCAACTCTGGGAGTTTGTGGGATCCCCTTCCAGAAAATTTTCCAGTGCAGGTCCGTGACTGATTACCAGTCATACCAGACTGTGGTCATGTGTCCTTGTGGGTCCCAGCCATGGGTCTCCCTAACACTGCAGCTCCCAGAACTTGGCCCAGTATCTTTGGGCACCCCTGGTTTTACTGCAAATGATTGCATCCAGTGGAACTCTGTCTTTTCAGGCCATGTGGAATCAAATGTATGGAGCTCGGAGATAAAAACAAAGACCCAGGTTCAAGTCCTGGCTCCGCTAATTACAAGCTTGGAGCAAGTTTCTTGACAGTAGTGAGTGCTCAGCACATAGTGAGTTTTCAACAGATAGTGAGCACCCAAGAAATATTATCCCCACCTTTTTTGTTTTAATCTTATCTGTAACTTCTTTAAGTACTCCCACATCCTTTAGATGTGTCCTCACATCTAAAGATAGGCAGGAAGCCAGGAGGTTCAAGCCTATACTTCTTTCTTCCCCAAGGCTGGCCTGACATGGACCTGTTCTCTTACTTTTTTCCTCCTTTTCTCACACACATCATGTGTGCCTTTCTCCACCTTCTCAAATCCAAATCTCATTTGGGACTTGTAGTATCTCACTGGAGCTCCATTATCTCTTGACCATTCTGGGTGGACACATTCTTCCACAAGGTCCCCCACTCTGGCTTCGGTGTCATGCTTTGTTCCTCTTTTCTCACTCCCAACCCACACTCCTGCCGTTTCACATCTGTTTAGAAATGTACATGTGGGGCTCTGCTGCAGAGGGATGGCACAGCTTTGGAGCATCAGGGTCTAGATGGACTTTTGTTCTTTTAATAAAGCCTACACCCCAGGGGAAGGTTAAAGTTGAGTGGCTATAGGGGCCACACAACCATTCAGACAGTGAACACATTTTTTAAAAAATCTCACAATGCTATTGAAAGAAAGAAGTCTTAGCTTGTGATAAGCAGTTTATCAGGCTCTCAGGAGGTGTGAGTTCTATGTGCCCCCACTGAATTGCCTGCTCTTGTGAATCCAGTTCCCTTGTCTGCAGTCTGGGAAGGAAGGGCAAGAACACCTCACAGGGCTGTTTGGAAGAGCTTTTAAGAATGGTGGTGGGGCTTATGTATGCTTCATGATAATACTCAAGAGAAGCTTCTGCCTAGGGCTAGCTTGGCTTTGCGCTGTTCTTTAGGAACAGTTTTATTGTTTTGATAGAAGTGTTATTCTTTTATTTATAGTTTCCGTAAAGCTAGTCAGACTCCAGTAATAAATGTTAACTACTTGAGAGTAGAAACAGTGAGGAGCATTTTAAAAGCCTAACTTTGGAATGCATTTAGATTCGGATGATTTTTCAGCTAACATTCATACTGGAACCTCCTCAGCATTCTGTGAGGGAATGTTGTTGGAGTGCTTTGTTTTGGGGACAGAGCATGGTGGCACAGTAGACAGCTCAGAGTAACTTTAGCTCCTCTCTGGGTAAATGTTTGTAGGCGGCAAGCATAAAGGTTGGAGTCAAGAAGGATAATGAGAAAAGTAATGAGTGGTGTTTTGAGTTATAATTTTATACTCAAAGATAGTTACTGAATTGAGAGATTGTATTATGAAACTGGATATTAGCAAATGAAAGTGTCTTCTCCTAATTCTTGCATTTCATACCAGAGAGCAAGCTTCCAGTTTCCAGATTTGCAGATGAGCCAAAGGTGGGAAGATCTGCTACTGTGGTGAATGACAGAATTTGGATCCTAAAAGGTCTTGACAATTTGGGAGATGAGCCCAAAATAACAAAATGAAGTTTAATGGAATAAGGTTTAAGCTCTGTGTTAGTTTCCAAGGGCTGCCATAACAAAGTGCCACAAACTCTGTGACTTAAAACAACAGAAATTTCTCACAGTTCTGGAGGCCAAATGTCTGAAATCAAGGTGCTGCCAGGGTCACACTCTCTCTGAAGGGTCTAGGGTAGGAATCCCTCCTTAATTTTCCTTCTTGCGGGCCCAGGTTTTCCTTGATTTGTGGCAGCATAACTCCAATGTCTGCTCTGTCTTCTTTCCTCTGTGTCTGTTCTCCGTGTCTCATATTCTTCCTGTAAGGGCACCAGTCAGATTGGATTAGGGCCCACTCTACTCCAGTATGACCTCATGTTAACTAATTACACCTGCAAAGATGCTGTTTCCAAAGAAGGTGACATTCAAAGGTACCAGGAGGTTAATACTTGAACGTATCTTTTTGGGGGACATGAATCAACCCATAACAAACTCTAACCAAAGAGTCATAACAAATAGTTCCCCATTACAAAATCAGAGATCTTGAGTTTTGAGTTAAATGAAGGTGCGGAGTCTATCAGTGTAACATAGTTGCTCACATGGTATTGAGTCTCATCAATAGAAATACAGTGTCCAAACTTGTCTTATAGGATGAAGGAGAAATGGAGATGAATTAGGGACCTCCTAGGGAGGTACATTCTTGAACCCAGTCTTGGAGGAACCCACTGTGCAGACTGGGATGAGTTGGGACTTAGTTTGACAAAGTGGGCAGGTAGTACAGATAGAAGGACCTGTTGGGTCACATCTGCATATATTTCAAGAACCTGGCCCCCTCTTTAAGTGTGGTACACTGGTTGTTTATTTATCTCAAGTGAAATGGTTAGAAAAATTTCCTCCAAGATCTTTGTTCCTTCCCTAGGATAACAAGTGACAATTGTCAAAATCTCCCCAAGATCAATCAGCAGAAGTCACGGCCCAAAACCACAGTGGGGAGGGCAGGGGACATCAAATCTCTCAATAAGGACCATCCCAAACAGGTGAGTATGGCTTTGCTTGGCATTGGTTATATCAAGTTGACTGAGAAATAATCCAAAGAAAAAAGTCAAGTTTGTTTATTTTTTGGGGGACCTATATTTTAAAAATTACTGTGTGATTTAATTAAATTATAGCTTTTCTTCCAATATGGGCAAATCTCCAGATTTCCTAATGTTTGTTAATATGAGTAGGAAGACCCCTTCCTCCCCTGAAGCCTTCCCCTGATCTAAGTGCCTGATGAAGGGCGTTGGGGTGGGGTCCAGGCCCAATCAGAGCAGGAGGGTCTGGTTGCTGTTGGGCTCATCCTCCCATTTACGGTAGTTGTAGGCAGCAGATCTTCCTGTCCTGAAGCGAGTATCTCTCTGCGTTCCTAAATATAGGCCAGGGATAGTTTCAGGATGACTGTGCCTCAGAGGCTCCAAGGAGCTTCTTCAAAGCGGACGTGGCCATCTCCATCCCAGACCTCCACATTGGAGATTTCGGGAGAGATTTCTGTGCTTGCTGGTGAGAGGACAGCAAGAGGAGAGAGCCTGGCAGATGGGGGAAGTTGATGACTTCTGGCTCAGGAGGCCCATGCCAACAACTTCCAAGGTTTCAAAGGAAAGAGGACCATTGGAGTCTGTGAAAAGGAATGGGAAGAATTAGTCTCAACGATGTCTGGCAGGATAGAGAAGAAAAACCACAAAACTCAATTGGTCAAGAGAAAACTCTTGCACTCAAGGAGGTCCAGTGGTTTGAGGGAGGGGACACAGGGCAGAATTAGTCTGGTTGACTTCACTGCATCTCCAAATACAGCTACCCTGGCCATGAACACCTCTGGTCACAAGAGAAAAGGCAAGGAATCCCTTCCTCAGGATGACAACAGTTGTCTAAATCTCCCCAAATCAATCAGCAGAGGCCACGACCCAAAACCACAATAGGGAAGACAAGGGACATCAAATCTCTCAATAAGGAGCATCCCAAACCCTAGTGGTAGGTTGAGGCACAAATGTGTCCTCTGTTGTGAAAGCCACTCAGAATCCATGACCTGTGTCTTCTCAGTCCTCCAGGGACTGCCCCTTCCACATGGCACAGACAGGTAGTTAGTTCATCTTGTTGAGTCTTGACAAAAGTAGCCACATTACACATGAAGTTCCTCATTTACAGAACTGGCATTTGATTTTTGGATGATGGAAGAACCAATCAATGACAACAGCATCTTGGTCACTGACTTCTCATTGTCTCCCTCTTTCTTCAGGAGATTGTCAATAACACTCACACAGAGAGTGCTGACTTTGGCTTAAATATCTCAGGAATCAGCAAAGGTAGTGGAGAAGGAAATGCCCACCCACGAAAGGTGAGTGGACTCATGAACCCGAGCACCGAAAGGGGGCATTTCTTTTGTTTTTAAAAATTGAAAATAAGAAATGTTATTTCTGTCAAAGAGGAAAGTTAATTATGTAATGATCAAAGGTTGGCTGTGAGTAGACTGGGAAGAGCACTGGATGAGGATCAGAACACTGGGTTCTGCTCTGGAATCTCCTCGTTTCTGGATGAGTGAAGTGCCACATCTCTGTGGAGCTGTTTCTTTATTTGTAAATTGAGGGGTTTGGAAGAGGTAGCTTCTAATGTTCCTTTCAGCTTAAAAACTCTGTGATTAAAGTAGTAAACCTTGATGTAATATCCTGGATTATTTAACTGAGTGTCTCCTCCTATTCATTCTTTTCTGTCCTGTCAGTGATAGTTGATTAGTGGTGTCACCTTTCTCCTTGGAGGTGTGACTGTAGGCTTAAATGTAATTTAATGTGAACTGTAAAACCTCAGTTCATGTAGTGCCAATCATGTCCTCCATAGTATTTCTACCCCTTTCAAGATGTCAGAATTCCTAAAGCATAGTTTATCAAACAGAACAGACCCAGATTGGGTGAATATAGTCAAAAGATGGGTAAATATATGCCATTTGGAGATGAACACCACCAATATCAACACCAATGTGTTTCTCTTGATTGTAACCTTCTGGGTTGTATTGCTTTAAGAGTCTTCATTCTTCTCTGATCAAGTTCTCAGCTACAGGACTGCTGACTTAGCTCTACCCAGCTCAACTGAATTCTGTGTGTATGAGTTTGGAGAGGAGGCTGGGACATCCCTGAAAATCAATGGGAGCTACCTCATTGGCTTCACTTGGCTCTACTGGGCCTCAGTAGGGTCAGATGTTACCTGAAAGGCTGGGGGTTCAAACCCACCCAGAGGGGCCTCAGCAGAAGGTGATCTGCTTCTGAAAGATACTGGAAATCCCCACGGAGCAGAGTTTTACTCTGAAGCTCAGGGGTCGTCTCTGCGTGTCTAGTGCTGCTGCAGAAGAAATACCACACATGGATGTCTTCAACAAACAGATTCATTCTCTCACGGTTTGTTGTTGTTGTTGTTATGTGCTGTGGAGTCAGACCCGACTCACAGTTTAGGAGGCTAGAATGACAAATTCAAGGCTCCAGCTCAGATGCTTCTCAGCTGTGTAACCTTGGGCAAGTTGCTTAATCTCTCTAAACCTCATTTCTCTCATCTATAAAATGGAAATGATCAGTGCCTGCTTTAAATGACATAATGAATGGAGAGTGCCTCAATCCAAGGCAAACCCACTACCATTGAGTCAATTCTGATTCATAGCAATCCTATAGGACAGAGTAAAACTGCCCCGCAGGGTTTCTAAGGCTGTAATCTTTACAGAAGCAGACTGGCCCATCTTTCTCCCATGGAGTGGCTGGTGGGTCCGAACCTTGCAGTTAGCAGCTGAGCACTTTAACCACTAGCACATAATAAACAATAAAGGCTAGTTATTATTATTTGTTTTTTGCTTCTTCTTTTTCTCCTCTTTCATGGGGGAGACAAGGTGACAATGGAAGGATTTGGGTGACACATATTCTAGGTTTAAATCCTTTAGTCATTTGTTGGCTGTGTGTTCCTGGGCAAGTCATTTAACTTCTCTGGGCCTTACTTCTACATGAAACTGGGTTATTACTAGCTATAGTAGAGGTGTTACAAGAATTAAAAAAAAGAATCCTCACAAAGCACCTTGCACACCTCTCTTGTGCTGGGCACTCTACCGAGTGGTGAATGTAAATTATAGGAAAAAGGAACTATCATTTACCCCTGTGCCAGGGAGTTCTTCCTGTGTAGAATGTTTTAAATGACGAGACAATATAGGGGAGGCAGACATACAAGGAAGCAGATGGTATGTGTCAGGAACTGAAAAATGTTTGTGAATTTGTATTCAAATCAACTTCTTTCTGAAGAATTCATTTACAAGTTTTTTAGAGTGTCTCAACTTGAGGAAATCATCCTATTCGACATTAGTCCAGGTGATTTATAGAGCTTAGCTTTGTGTGTGCTGCTTATCAAGGTACATAGATACATTTTGATTTAATGAAACTAAGCTATTAAGCATAGTTTTCCCTCATGTTTTAATGGCATAAATAACCATTATTCCCTTTCAGGGCCAAGTCATTGACTTCCGAGGGCTGCTCACAGATGCTATCAAAGGAGCAACTAGCGAACTAGCCTTGAACAGCTTCGATTGTAACCCAGACCCCTCAGTAAGTGGCTAAGACGTGACATTCATCTTTCAGACTGTCAACATCCAGATGAACTTTAGAAATATCATTTTGACCATAGTGAAACCTTGAGATCAAGTCAAAGGGTATAGTGCCTGCCACCATTTGTTTCACCGAGACCCATGCTCTGTTTCTCTTCCGAAGTCATGCAGCACTATCATAATGTGAGGCTTTTTGTTCCCTTCGTCAGGAACGGTTGCTGAAACCTCTGAGTGCATTTATTGGCATGAACAGTGAGATGCGAGAGTTGGCAGCCGTGGTGAGCCGGGTAAGATCTGATACTCAGTTCACAAATTTACAGAGGCGGATTGGGGCTCCTGGAGCACTGTGGGCTGCTGCTTTTATTAATAACAATAAATATGATAATTTATTTATAAAGTGCCCCCACTTGCGAAGGCACTCATATTGTTTAGAGGCACAATAATGCATGATAAATAAATTATAGAATCATAAAATTACAATATGAAAAGCCCACTATCTCACTACAGAGTCCAAGAAAACCAGAGGAGAAAAAGACTTAGAACGGAAGGGACAGGTGAAAGGTTTGAGAGCAGAGCCAAGAGTTAAGGAAAGAAAGCCTCCAAGAGAAGCAAAGAGTACGTTTGCATCTTGTTTAAAAAGTCAAAGCCTAGAAATAGGCTGATGACTCCGTAGTTGAAAATTTCCATAGAAAGCAAGATTAGTAGTAGGAATTTTACCATCCAGATGACTGATTTTTCAAGCTTGTGCTATAGACTCTAAAGGAAGTAAAGCCTAATGGTTACAGACACCAGCTTTGGAATACATTAACCTGGATTTGATTTCTCACTCCTCCTGTTTCTAGCTATATGACTTTGAGCAAGTTACTTGGTGTTTTGGTCATCTAGTGCTGCTCTAACAGAAGACATCACAAATGGTTGGCTTTAATAAACAGGAGTTTATTCTGTTACAGTTTTGGAGGCTAGACATCTGAGTTCAAAGTGCCAAGCTCTAGGAGCTGAGTGAAAGCCCCTTGACCTTGGGCTTCAGCTCTGCCTCTTGCTCCTGGCCCACTGGAGCTAGAGTTATCTCTTCACTCAGGCAGCAGCTGACTGCTGAGGCTAACAAGCCCAAGGTCGACAAATAAAATGGCACAGTCCCAATATTACCAAACAACATGGCAGGCCACTAGTTCAAGTCCAAAGACAGTCCCAAGATCAGCAGGAAACATGGCAGACTGCTAAATGAAGACTTGGCTACATGCAGGGTCCAAGTGTGCCAAAAAGCTGCAGAGACCTTTCTCAATGCTTCTCTTTATATACTGGAAGAAGACCATATTCCTAAGGTAGCTACTCAGCTCTTCCCATAGATTCCACCATAGAGTTGATAACCAGTCTCATCATGTACAGTAACTACATCCAGCTGCCCAGCTACTAAAACCAAGTTAACACATAACTTTAACAACCACACTTGGGACTAGAATAGACAAGGAGCTCTGGTAGTGTAGTGCCTAAGGCACTTGACTGCTAACCAGAAGGCTGGTGGTTCAAACCCACCAGCTACTCCTCAGAAGGAAGGTTGGGCAATCTACTTCTGTAGTGATACTGCCTTGGAAACCCAAGGAGAGGTTTCTATGAATCGGGTCTGACTTGACAGTGCATAACAACAACAACTGGGTTATAGGATATGTTTCTAATTTCTCATGATCTTATTATATTTAATGCAAGACTGAAACCTAAGCAGGCTATTTAAAATGATCCACAAAACACACAGCTACTTGAGTTATTTAAGGATTCCTCAGGTGTCTCTGTCCTGTTCAGGAGTTGTTTACTGCATGCTTATTATGTCTACTAAGCAACATCATGATAAATGGAGAAAAGATTAAATTGCCAAGGATTTGATTTTAAATGCCAATGGAAGCAGCAGCAAATGAAGTATTGCATTGAGAAATTCTGCTGTAAAAGACCTCTTTAAAGTTTTACAAAGCAAAGATGTCACCTTGAAGACTAAGGTGCAACTGACCCATGCCATGGTATTTTCAGCTGCTCCATATGCATGTGAAAGCTGAACAATGAAGAAACCAAAGAAGAATCGATACCTTTGAATTATGGTATTGGTGAAGAATATGGAAAAGGCCATGGACTGCCAGAAGATAAAGCAAATCCGTCTCGGAAGAAGTACAAATAGAATGCTCCTTAGAAGTGAGGATGGTGAGACTTCATCTTGGACGTGTTATCAGGATGGACTTGCATGGTAAAGAAGAGGGTGAGTGCAAATGAAGAAGACCCTCAATGAGATGGACTGAGCCAGAGGCTGCAATAATGGGCTCAAGCATGGCAAGGATTGTGAGGCTGAGCAGCGTTCCATTCTGCTGTACACGGTGCCAACGATTGGAACCAACTCAACAGAACCTGACAGCCACAACAACCTCTTGTGCCAGATCAGTGCTGGGTGCTGGAAACACAAAAGAGGAGTGACCATACATTCCTTGTCGGCAAGAATTTCTCATCCCCTCAGCAAGGCTCACTTTGAGAGCATAAAGGAGGGGTATTTTGCACCAAAGGAGGAGGAGGTGTTAAGGAAGAGGGTATATAGGAAACAGCCACTTGAACAAGAGTGAAGAGGGAGGATGGGAGGTACTCTGGGCAGAGGCCTGTAAGAGTGAGAAAGTATAGCTGGTGCCGTGTTTCTGGTGAGCAAAGTAAGAATTAGGGAGTGGTGGGAAATGAGACTGCAGAGGCCAGGGTTCCTCAGAAAGGGTCCAGTGGACAGGACCTAGAGCCTCTAGGTTACGGGGTGGAGAAAAAAGTCTTTGAAACATGTCTATAGAGGAACAGGATAATCCAATATCCTATTAGGTAATTTATTCTATTGAAAGTGTGGGGGGTGGATGTCAAAGAAATGGAGATGAGGAGACCAACTATGAATGGATCCCAGTGAGATGGGATGAGGGATTGAGGCAGGCTCCAGTCATTGGGGTGCATAAGAGAGCAGAAAAATATTTCTCATACTCACAAAAATCAGTAGTCTCGTTACCATTTAACGAAAGGATAACAGGACAAGTGAGGATAGAATTGTAGAGTGGAAGTGGCCTGAAATGATACTATCAGGAATTCTTTTTCTAGTACCTTGGGAGGCGGTCATTCAGGCTCCGCTTGGTTGCTGACAGTAATGAGCGCTCACTCCTCAATGAGGCAGTCTTGGTGAGCTTTGACTGATAACTCTGGATTGATATAAGGAGTAACTTTCTTTTGGGAAAATAACACTGCCGTGTAGAACTCAATCCCAAACCTAGAAGAGGGAAGAAAAAACACTGTTGTCTATAAACCAAAACTAAACTCACTGCTATTGAGTTGGTTTCACTCATTGTAACCCTTCCTTGGGTTTTCAAGGCAGTATCTCTATGGAAATAGATCACCCCATCTTTCTTCCTAGGAGTGGCTGGCTGGTGGGTTTGAACCGCCAGCCTTCTGGGTTAGCAGTCAAGTGCCTTAGGCACTATGCCACCAGAATTCCTACTATTGTCTATGAATGTCCTGAATTCCAAGGTAGATGAATTTCTATTGTGTGAAAAGCTTTCCCTCAAAAGGGGCAGTAATAAGAAGGAGAGTGCCTGGGGCCAGTGTGCAGATACGGGCTTTAAAGACAGGATGGCTCTCTCAAGATTTTGGAAAGCTGACTGCTTTTTCTGTACCCATCCATGAAGTCATAAGCAACCAAAATCACTTGCATGAATAGTGGCTGCTTGTGGTAGAAGGAACTGGGTGGATCAAGGACCCTGCTGGCAAGATAACATCTTACCAGCATGTATGGCCTATTGAAAATTATATAAATAAACTGTTTATAGATTGTTCTGTAGTCATTCAGAATGACTTTGGAAGGAGACTTTTTTTTTTTTTTTCCTGATATAACACTCTAGCTATTCAGTTTGCCCGAAACAGCTCATACGGAGAAAGGCCCCTGAGTGACTGTTCTGAGATGTCTTGTGAAATTGAAGTTTGGAAACTGTAAATTAGTTATCAGTAAAAGCTACTTTAATTGATTACCCTAGATGGTTGCTACAGGGCTCTACTATACGAGGGGAAAGCGGCACTTTTGCTTGGTTGTCGGCTTCCTTGAATTTTGTAGAAGCAATTGCTCCTGATGGAAGTAGGGAACAATCACTAGGGAAAAAGAGAAATTGGTTTCAGAGGAGCATTATCTCTTTCATGTAACAAATTAAGAAAGTGTTTGTGAGATCAAGGAGCAAGAGAGAGACCAGGTACTAGCTAGAAACTATGTTTCGCAGTAAAAGCTAATGTAATTTGAAGGCATATTCTGTAGCTTTGATTAGTGTCATAAATCAACATGGTTTGTTATTGACCGAAGACAGGTATAGTCCATTGTTAGGAGATTTTTTTCCCCCCTAAAAGTACCATCTTATATCATCAATAGTGTCTTCAGGGAAAATCATTGAATATTTTCATGGCATCCCTTTGGTGAACTAACCCAAAATTACAATGCGTATATATACATATAGATATAATATGAAGTTTTTTATCACCATTGCTTTATGTCCTACTATAAGTCAAGTGTTCTGCTGCTCCTGTGTTTATTGTAGTTGTAGAGGAAAACATTCGTTTTAACAAAATGATCAAATGTGCATTGCAGGACATTTATCTCCATAATCCAAACATAAAGTGGAATGACATTATTGGACTCGACGCAGCCAAGCAGTTAGTCAAAGAAGCTGTTGTGTACCCTATAAGGGTAAGGATGGGAGGCCTCCTGGGGGTTATTTCTGTTCCTTATCCATTGGATAAGCCATATGTCACTGACCCATCAGGAAGGGAAGGATGATTTTCTGTCCACAAGTTCACTTTTTGCCTGTGTCGCAGCACTTTGTCAACACTGGAGCATGGCGACCCAAATCATTCAAGGCAATTTAAAATCATGGTACATCTGGTTCAAGGCAAGTGTCTGCTCTAAGTGATAATGTAAGATCTAAGACTGTGGTGTATATGATTTTTCAGTTACTGTAGATTGGTTCAAATTAGCCTGCCTTGCTGAAAATAGACTTCTTATAGTAGAAATGCTTCCCGTAGAAGAGGGCCTCTCATTTAGTTTCTGTGGACCCCTGCTTCAGGGTCTTGGAGCTTTGCTTTTGGCTGATTGTGCAGACTACGTAGCTCCTCCCAGGACAGCGGCCGGCACAGCCAGCGAGTTGCTCTCATTCCTGATAAGTCTCTATGGTTCCCTAAGTGCGTAGAAAACTAGAAGAACAAAAACTCCCATGTTTGGTTGATGAGAAAGTGAATATATCACTTAGCTTTTGCTGTATAACAGGCTATCTGAAAACTTACTGTCTTGAAACAACAGTAATTTATATGCTTGTACTTCTGTGGGCAGTTTGGGCTGGCCTCAGCTGGGCTGCCTCATCTCTTTTCTTCATGGTATTGGCTGGGCTTAGTCACGTGTCTGGAGCATCAGCCAGTGTGGCTGGAAAGGCCAGAATTAATAGGACAGCCGAGACTTCCCTCCATGTGACTTTATGCCCTTCAGCAGGCAAGTCCAGTCTTGTCTATGTGGTGGCAGGAAAGTTCTCAGAAAGAAACAAGAAAGGAAAAGTCCCAATATGTAGCAGTTTTCAAGGCTTTTCTTATATTTTTAAGTCTTTTATTATACTTGCTAATGTCTCATTGGCCAAAGCAAGTCATATAGCCAAGCCCAGATTCAAGAGGTAGAGAAATAGATTCCAGTGCTTGATGGCAGAGCTGAAAATAATTTGTGGCTTTTTTTTCTATAATCTCTCTCAGTCAGGGTATACACATATATTTTATTGAATAACCTACATATGCTTACCATTGAGTCCATGAAGACGCTGGTTTTTAGATGCTGCTAAGGAGACAAAAATCTTAAATTTGGATTATTTCCTACCTCCCCACCCCCCACATTCAGACAGCGTGTAAGAAATATGATGTTGTTCACAATTAGTAGAAGGTTACTCACCATTTCCTCTAAGTGAATGTATGGTACAATATTTTTTAAAAGGATAGAACATCTAATTGAAACTCTCTGGATGTGTTATCTCCATGGTATTATAAGCTCTATATTGTGATGGTGTTGAGATTTTCATATTAGTATCAGCAAGAAACAAATATCTAGTTAAAATTTTATTACTGCTTTTCTTTCCCGCCCCCTCCTGTTCTCTACCAACCCTGCCTATCCCCCTGATTGTTTGACCTTTAACTAATGGAAGACACTCACTGAAGTCTATGCATTTCTGTTTGGAGTCAGTGTTTCATCATGCATTTGCCACTGTATGTTCCCAACTTCTGAAACTGGTTGCACCATAGCTTTTGGCTTTATTCACATACACACTTATTTGCTGTTTCTAGTATTTGTCCTAACATTAGTACCTGCTTTATAACATTCAAAAGGTTATCAAGGGCTCTGCATAGAGAACTTCGGGAGATATGATGGTAGACATATAACAAACTACTATAGCAGAAAGGAAAAGTACTTATGTATGACTTTCTTTTTCAATTGCTCTTTTAGTTTCTAAAATGTTTATGATGATGGGAAATTTTCTTTTAGTTTCTGTTTGTGGGTGATGGTTACACAACATGATTAATGTAGCTGATGTCACTAAATTGTACACCTGAAATATGTTGAATAGGCAAGTGTTGTGTTTATATATGTTACAACAATAAAAGACGTATTTTAAAAATTGCTCTTTTAAAAAGCTACATAAATTAGGCCAGGCATTCTTATCAAGTGTGAAAGTAAAATTGGGATAAATAAGAAAGACAGATCTGTTTCCATTCCAGCTTTGCTCGCTTGCCTGTGTTAAGGGTTGGTGGGCTGATGTACTGGTACCAAAGCTTATCATTGTTCCTTGTTTCCACAGTACCCACAGTTGTTTACTGGGATTCTTTCCCCCTGGAAAGGACTGTTGCTTTATGGCCCTCCAGGTAAAGACCTTGACTTTTGGTCTTGATGTTGTGTATGTTGCAAAGGAATAATTGCCCTCGTCTGACTTCACTTCAGGGAAGGCATTTACTGCTAATCAGAAGGTTGACAGTTCAAACCCACCAGCCACTCTGTGGAAGAAGATGAGACAATCTACTTCCATAAAAATTTACTCCCTTGGACCCAATGAGGGTCACTATGAGTCAGAATAGACTTGATGCAGTGGGTTGGCTTCACATCAAGGAGCAGCTCTGCTGCTAACCAAAAAGTCAGCTGTTCAAATCCACCAGCTACTCTGTGGGAGAAAGATATGGCTTTATAAATCTGTAAACATTTATAGCCTTGGAAATCCTATGGGGCAGTTCTACTCTGTCCTATAGTCAACAGTGGTGGTGGTGGTGGGTCCTCAGTTCAAGGATAAGGCAAATGATAGCTGAGGAGCCACTTTCTCCTTCACTAGTGAGATTGACATCTGTGTGTAAGCAGAGAAATGGAGTTTGATTACCTGCTCATATTTTATCCACATGTGTCTCTAGGAACAGGAAAGACTTTATTGGCCAAAGCTGTGGCTACTGAATGTAAAACAACCTTCTTTAATATTTCTGCATCTACCATTGTCAGCAAATGGAGAGGGGATTCAGAAAAACTTGTTCGGGTAGGCATTCTTGATTTTGCTTTTTCACATTAAGTTGTAGCAAAACACGATGATGCAAAATTATTTTAGAGCTTATTTGTTTTTATGTGATTAATGTTAGATTTTATCCTAAATCTTGATTACCAAAAGCCTGGGAAATGGATTGACCATTGTATGTGGACATTAATCATGCCCTCATCAGCAAAACTTGATTTCTCTTCCTTTGGAAATTTGACCAAGAGCCCCTTTTTGATTCAGGTAATTTAGGAATGGAAGCTGGAAAAGAATTGGCCCTAAAGTGGCCTATTCTTTTCTTTAGTTAAAAAGCATTTAATATTAAGCATACGCAGTGTATTCCATTAAC